GCATGTATACATAAATTTAAAAACATGATAATTTTAAAAAAAAACTTATACATTTATTGAATTCAAAGTGCCAATAGTCAATAATTACAACAATGATCAACATTCCTTAGTTGACATAATGCTTATACTATATAAATGACCAATAAACGTCTTGGGTGACAATCTCTTCGTCAAGAAATCAAGTAATATAGGATCCGATGCTAACATGCTCTATAAACACTATGTTTCTGAACCTCTTCTTTAACAACAAAGTATTTCAATACTATATGCTTAGCACCTTTTGAATAGTAACTGTTTTTAGAAAAGAAGATTGCAGCAGAATTATCATAATAAATTTCCAATAGCTTATCAATATTGTCGACCAATCTAAGTCCCAAAATAAAATTTTATGGCCATTTATCCTGAACCATGGCATCAAAGCATGCCACAAATTTTGGTTTCATAATGGATGCAACAATTACAGACTGCTTCAGACTTTTCCAAGATATAGCTCCTCCAGCTAAAAGATATAAGAAGTCAAAAGTGGTTTTTCTTGTATCCATACATCCGACAAAGTCAGAGTCTGTGTACCCAATCACTTCAAGGTTGTTAGACCTCCAATAAGTAAGCATGCGATCTTTAGTGCCTTACAATTATCTAGGAACTTTCTTTGTATCTTTTCAATGATTGATTCCACAATCATTCTAGTATCTCCCTAACATTCCAACTACAAAGTTTATATCTGAGCCTATACAAGTCTTAGCATACATTAAGCTCCAAACAAGTGATGCATATGGAATTTCTTTCCATTCCAATACATTCTTATGATATTGTATGAGACTAAATTTGTTTCCTTTCTGAATTAGAATTGAAGATTATGAGCAATTTTTCATTTTGAATCTCTCTAAAACTTTATCAATATATGCGTTCTAAGACAAACCCAACAATCCTTGTAATCTATCATGAAATATTTCTATCTCAATCATATAGGTTGTCTCACCTAGAGGTGGCAATTCGGGTCGACATGATCTGACATGATTTCGACACAAATATTACACTCAACACAAACACGATACAAATTTGAAATCGGGTTAAAACCTTTGACACAAACATGACTCACTTATTTTGCGGGTTGACACGACATAACATGACATGAATAACCTGTCAATCATAAATTATGTTAATCATTATGTAGGTTGACACTAGGAGTGTTCGCGGACTGAATAGGATCGGATTTGAAGCAAATATTATCTGATCAAATCCTTCGGTTTGATCATTTAATCGTCTATTCGGTTTATTTTTTTCAAATTTGATCCAATCCAATCAAATTTTATTCGGTTTGATTGGATCGGTTTTTAATTTTTCAAAAAGTCTAAAATTTTAGCCATACAAATCACTATCTATATCAAAATAAAAGTCATACAAAGTTATAAACCACTGAAAAATTCAAGTATTAAAATTCATGAAAAGTTAAAATAGAGTAATAGATAATAAAAAACTAAAACAAGGTAGTTTGCTATCAATAACAACCAAGATTCTAAGTCTGCAAAATAGCAAGATTTCAGGCATTCATTGGATCGGTTTGGATCGATTTTCACTAACCAAACCAAAAACCGATCCAATCCAATTAAAATATGCGTTTCAGTTTTCAGTTTTTTGATTTTTGATTAATTTGGTTATCGATTTTTCAGTTCGATTATCGCGGTTTGAATCGGTTTGGATCGAAAGATGAACACCCCTAGTTGACACAACATAATAAGACACAAATAAGCTGTTTAGGACACGTCACGAATAACCTGTAAGAAAATTAATACGGGTCAATTGGGTTTGCGGATCAACACATGACACAACACGAATATTTTCAGGTCAATTTTTGCCAACTCGAACATGAATTTTCATGTCGTGTTTGTGGGCCGTGTTAAAAATTGCCACCCCTAGCCTCACCCAAATCTTTCACTTCAAAGTTACTAGAGAGAAACTTCTTAGTCTAATTTAAAAGACCAAAATTATTTTTTGCAAGCAAGAAATCATCAACATATAAATAATATAAACTTGCTCCCACTAACCTTTAGATATATACATCGATCAATTGTGTTTTCTTTAAATACAAAGAAAACAATGGTATAATTTAACTTAAGGTACTATTGTCTTGAAACTTGTTTAAGTCCGTATATTGATTTCTTAAGTTTGCACACGTTGTGCTCTTTTCCCATGGTTGTGCCGAGATCTGCTCGAGGTTAAGTGAGAGAAAATATGAGGAGAAAGTTTTATGTATGAGGAGCAAGTGTATATCTAAAGAGAAAATCTACCTAAACTGTACAAGTGCATACATCAAGTAATACATGGATTTTATAAGCCCCAGATTATCGTCATCGGGGAAAAGTTGTAAAAGTTATGTTAAAAAGAAATATAGTCAAGAAAACAAGTTAGTTGAGAGCAAACAGAAAGTAAAGAACAATTTGCCTCAAGGAACCAATTTGTTCATAGCCTAAGGTTAGCTAATAAGTGCTTTCACCAACTCGATTGAACAAAGTCAACAATTCTGAAATGACTAAGAACTGGGTTTAACCCATAAACTTAGTTGAACTTTACCTTGGAAGAATTTGGAAAAACATTGGAGTCGAGAGTAAAGCAGAAAATAGAGAGAATAAAGTATGGGAAAAGATTGCAAGTTACGCATAGTAACAGAAAATAGAGAGCAAATAAAGAATAAATGCTTTTGGAAATTTTGATAATTGTCGAATAATAACAAGGAACAAATGAAAAATAAAAATAACTTTGACTCAAGATAAAAGACGTAGGCTCGGGTTGGTATTTTTGCCATCTTGGTCGTTTCTAAAACTCCATATACTCCCAAGAACGATATAAGCTCCTGGTACTCTTGATGGCCTTGGAGACTGATTCCTCCATCACCAAATTTTGCTGCCCAAAGTGGTCTATACAAAATGTTTTTGCTTCAAACTACATTAGGAGTTCTATTAAATTAAGACCCCGGGGAATTGTGCTACGTTCTTCTCCAAAGTTGGCTGAAGTGGCTGCTATTCAAAGCAATTTACACATAACAATGCTCCTTACTTTTAGATTTTTTTTCTCTGAAAGCGAATACCCTAAGATTTCCCTTGATTATACCATCACCAAGAACGTTAAAACAAGGAACAAGACAAATTCCATTAATAAGAATACATTTACATAATAAGTTCAACCTACGACTAAGAGAGATACTTCTACTTCCCATTTACCTACTAAACAGACTTAACTCATACTAAGGAGCATAATGAAAACCTATTTGCAAAAAGAAAATAAAAAACTTGAAAACAGAGGAGACACCAAGGAAGACTATGAGTCGTTTTCCAAAAGCTTCTAAAAGTAGTGTCTCATTCTATATTTATAGGTGATAAGTCCTCCTCAAACTAATCTTGGCCATTGATTGAATTCAATAGTCCAGATCATACTCAAAATAGAGGACGTGCTCCCTTCTTGCTCAACCCTACCTCGTCTGAGCTTCTTTTCCTCCTTCTTTTAGTGAAATTTGAGTATTTTTGTGCTGCAAAATGTGGTGCAATCTTCCTCTCTGCTTGTTATGTGCTTTTCCAGCTGTGATGTCACTTTTTCATACAAGGACAATGGTACAACAAACAATTTCTTCTCTCTCATGCTACTTTTTATGTAATTTTTCTTATTGTCTCCTTTTTATCTTTTCTTTCTTTTTTTTTCTTCCAAGTTTGCTTTATATCTGAATTGGGCTTCCTCAAATGGTCATTGGGCCCTTTGAAATGCAAAATAGTACATTAAGCCCGAAAGTAATTAAAATTATCCATTTTATAGCCAGTCAAGCCCTAGTTCTTAGAAATACAAATTGCTCCGGCGCAAATTACACTAAAGTGCTCCTGAAGGCAAACTTGGTTCTAAATGACAAAATAAACAACCAAAAGTGGGGAAATCAATAATAAAATACACAAGATAGCTCTCCAGTTTTGGGAGCTATAACCCATTTCTATGAACCCCATCAATTGATTCGTGTACACACCTTCTTATAAATTCTCATTTAGAAAGTAGTTTTCACATCCATTTAGTATAATTCTAAATTACAAGAGCCACCAATGCCACTATGATTCTTAGAGAGTTTTTCTTGGAAACTGGTGAGAATATTTCTTTATAATTAATGCCATATTTTTAAGTAAAACCCTTTGCAACTAACTTGGCTTTGTAGCGTTCTAAGTTACCATGAGAGTCATGTTTAGTCTTAAAAACTCACTTACAACCAACTTCTTATAGCCTTGTAGTAATTCATCAAGGTTTCAAATCTGATTTTGTTTCATAGATTTCAACTCATCTTTCATGACATCTAATCATTTGTCAACGTCATCACTATTCATGGCTTGTGAAAATGTAACCAGGTCATCTTGTATAGCCAACTCAGATTTAAACTGTTGTAGATATACCACATAATTAAAAATAACTCATCTCCTTTCTCTTTGAAATCTTCTTAATGCTATTTATTGTGATTTTTTTACTATGCGTTCATTCACAATAACTTCATACTCAATAGTGGGTTATTCATATGTTGTTTTTCATTATTGTTATTAACTGATTAACATTTCTCCTATAAATGGAGATAAAATTATCTCTTGTAACCCAAAAATGATATCATTTTGGGATTGAAAAAATGTTGCATATTTTAATAGAATTTATGAAATAAGGAAAAAAAAAATTAAATATCATGCATTTTTTTTTTCAAATCCCAAAATAACATGATTTTGAAGTTATAAGAAATAACTTAATTCATGTTACATAAAAATCATTCTTCCCTGACATCTTATATTGCTTTCCTCAATCTCTTTTGTTTTCATTAATTCAAAAATATAATATTAAAAAGTTATGCCCGTCATAGTATCCCAAAACCTGAACTTTGCATAGTTGATTCCACCTCTCTAATCTTAACCAGCTTAGTTGACTTACTATTTACCTATACATCACTGCTATGCCAATGCCAGTCAGCACACACCACACCACACCACTTCTTCACTCTCTAACCCAAAAAAGCCCAATTTTTACGCCCAAATGGTTCGGAGTTCGGACCCATAAAACACTTAAACCCAAGCCTCACCTGAACTCCGCCGCCGGCGTCGTATCACTGCCATGTTTTCCTCCACCACCACCACCCTCTTCCTCTTCCTATTGCTCCTCACCACCACCGTCGCCACCGCCACCCCAATCATAGGATTAGACTCATTCCTAACCCAGCAATCACGTTTAGACCCCATAGCTTCCAACGACTCCTTCCTCTCTCTCCCATCACCAATCAAGAAATCTCTCTCTCTTTCTCTCTCACTCTCTCTCTCTTCCCCAAACCCTCACCTCATTTCCTCCCTCACACTCCACCTCGTCGGCGACTTCCCACCTGACACCTCCACCCTCCTCTCCTCTTTCCTCTCCTCCGCCGCCGCCGCCGCCGCCGCCACCCACCACTTCCACGTCATCACACCCTTCGATTACCAATCCCACCAACTCTCAATCACACATAGCCTCCACCTTGACGTCACTCACAACCCTTCTTCTTCCTCACTCGCTACCACACTCTCACAAACCCTAAATTCCCAACTTCTCAACACACCTTCCTCTCTCCGATCCCCTCTTCTCTCAATTCCATTCTCCTCAATCGACCAAGTCATCCAAAACCACTTCGAAAAATCAAAACCCCTCCAAGGGGTTCATCTTTACCTCATCAATTTGCCTAATTCAAAATCCAATTCCAAACCCTATGCTTATTCATATGGCTCCGGCGACGACTCCGCCGGCTTCACCAAATGCTTGGGGACACTGTGGACGGCGAAAGAACGGTACTTTTGGATCGATTTGGGCGCCGGACCGGTGGATTACGGTCCGGCGATCTCCGGCGATGGCATGCTTCCCAGAGGGGAGTTTCACCCTCTGGCAGCACTCCATGGACGCCCCAAGTCACAGAAGGCTTTCGTTGCGGATTTGGCTTCCTTGGTTTGGAGTAGTTACCAGGTTTTTCTTGTGCCTTCTTTGAGAATTCCTGTGCCGTTTGAGAATTCTTTGGTTGTTCAGTTTATCCATGTGTATTCTGGTGAGAAGGGGAGTAAGGACACGAGTGGTTTGGATTGGGAGTTAATTGAGAAGAGTTTTAGGGATGAGAGTAATGGGGTGTTGTTGGGTGATCAGTCTTTGAGTTTTAAGGCTTATGAGATTAGTTATTCTGAATGCCCTGTGTGTTCTTTTGCGGTTTCGCGGTCGATTAATTCCTATACCTCGAGGTTTCTGTTTGATAACTATACTTTGATTGTGAGTGAGTATTTGGATTCGAAGAGGCTGCATCAGATATTGTCTGATTCGGCTGGCGAGTTGAGGAAAGTGGCTGGTGTGCCTGAGGAGGATTTTGGTAGGGTTGTTCCCGTGTATGTGTTTGACTTGGATTACAGCACGCTCCTGCAGCTGGATCGGTTTCATCAGTCTGTTGCTTTCAAGGATATGGTTATTGCGGTTAGGACTAAGAATACGCAGACTGTTAGTGATTATAGCTGCAACGGTCGGCATGTCTTCACGCACACGAGGGAACTTGTGCGGCCGCTTGTTGGATCAATTCTGCAGAGTATGTGGGGAGTGTCGCCCACCCATATGTCTTGGAGCCCCAGACACAATAGTACTTTGGTGGATTACACATGGAGTATAGGGCAGACTCCTTTCGGGCCTTTCTCAGAGATGTCAACTCTGTCTTTTGTGCAGAAAGATGCAGCAAGGAGAAATGTTCTGTTGACATCCTTGAATTACAGCATATCAAGTGCTATAGATGTTCTTCAGTCCATAGAAAGTCACGGTGGAGACAGAAATCTGCTCAAGCAAAAGCAGCATGTGGAGTTTGTCCAGAGATGGAACCTTTTCAAGTACAAGCTGAACAAAGCGGTGTCTGCTTTGTCACATCTGGATTTTGAGATGGCTTTGTTTTACTTGAGGTCTTCTGATCATGATCTGTATGCCATCCACTCCATTGTGTACCATGCCTCTCAAGAAATAGAGGCATCCCTTGTGTGCTTTAGGGACCCTTCCTTTCCTTGGGTTTCAGTCTCAATTTCTGCTGCAGCTTTCCTTGCTCTCTCTTATGTTTATGCAAAACGGGATAAACTTTTCAGAAACAAAAGGAAGCAATTTTGATGCTCTTACAGGAGGACAGAATTTTGTATGATTTTAAGAAAACACAAAACATGTATTATTGTACAAGAGGTATGCTGATGAGCTTGGTATTTAGATTGCTTGAGTTATTAACTCCAGTTCAACCTGCCATTTTCCTACTTTGTTCATACTCCGTTATCAGTTTGTTTTCTTGGGTTTATCTTACCTTTTCAGTATTATGACATGAGTTGATCATTAGTATGTGGCATATCAGTATTAGCAGAACACAAGCAGGGTAGAAATTCTAGAATTAAATCTGTTGTACTTTAGAGTAATAGGAGAGAAAAGGATAGACAAGGAGATCTAAAGCACAGCCAAAGAGGGCTGGCTTTCTGGTTAGCAACACGGTACAAAGGAGAAAAGCTTCTGTTATTAAGTAAATCTGAGCTATCATCTGTAACAGCCACTAAAAGCCCTTTATTATGAATAGAACTCTAATTAAAAGCAAATCTTTCCTGTGCATCCTCTGCCTAGGTTGTCCAACTACCTATTTGATATATCTATTCTAATCATAGTTGTCTAAAGTAATTTGAATAAAACGCAACTAACAGACATAATAGGACAATTGACAAATACAAAGAAAGTATTAGTCAACACTGCCACATTACTTGAGCGACATTAGATGGACGCTATTTGTGCTACAGTAGCACAACAGTACAGGCATTCCACTAGTGTGACTAAAAATACTAATCTACAATATCTATCCCAAAGAGCGACCCAAACATTTAATTATCAGTGACCCAGTTTGTCCTGCATTGTTTAGCTTCCACTTGGAAGAAAACTCATGCTCTAGCTTTTAGGTTGACCTTGAACTCCTCCACTCCATATGAAAAGTTACGTATCATGAATTTCTTTTCCAACTTGTTCTCCATGTTCTGGAATAACAATAACTTTACACTCTTGATCTAATATGACAAATTTCACCAATTGGCTGACCAATTGAAGATAATTGTCTTGACCATGATCTTGAAGAAGTAAAGCTGGATGAACTTGAAAATCTGTGGTTTCTTGCTCCTTAATGTTAATGAGTTCATGCTAAAGTAGCGCTAACAATCTTTATGCTACAAACATTATTCATCCTTAAGTTGCTCAAATAGTAATCCAACATTTAATTACAAATGATCATCCACCTGGCCTGCATCTTTTATGCTTTAAATTTCCAAATGTTTTATGGTTCATCGATTTTGATGCTTTAGTGAAGGACAAGTTTGGCTTGCATTTGCTTAGGAAGTAACTAGTTCAGTGTTCTAGTGAATAATGACCTGAATTTTGCACCTTCAAGCTCGGTGCTTGATGTTTGATTCAGATTAAATGATTGAATTTTGTTCTGCTAGTGCAGAATTGTTGAGTGGTCCAATTCAATGCTTCAGATTTTCATGCTTAAGGCTTTCAGGCGTTTGGACCTCTTCAAGTCTAAAGTGATAGAAAGATGTAATAGGTTTATGGCCAAAGGTGGAAAAAATACAGAAAGTTGCTTTCTTGTGAATTCCTTTCATGTTATGAATAAACTTCATTGTATCTGTTAACATTTGAGCCTCGGTCCCCTGCATAGCAACTTGTTCTCCTTGTCACTAATCTTGTTTGTTTTTATCATCGGAAACATTGAACTTGTGCTTAATCATTCACTAAAACTAAAAACAATGCCTTTTTTTATTTCTGGATGCAAAAACAACATATTTTATTAGTCGTCCCCATTACACTTCAAATGCAGTTATGCAAACGTTAGGAATTTATAACATTATTTGAGGGGCAACTTTCTGGGAATCAGAGAAAGCCCCCCATCTAATTTCTCATCTCTCTCTTCCATGCCCCAATCTTTTTTTTTTCCTCTGCCTACTTTGTTCCTCGTAGAACACTATACAGTTTAGCTTGTTAATATAGAATGATTAATAAAAATAATGAATTTCAAAGCCAAATAAAAACCATACTATATGTTACTGGTTCAAAATATGTCATACACGAGATGTTGTTAGCTCTAAAACATATCATTAAGGGATTTAGGTGAGCGGCCAGGGATTTCTTGTCAGGCTAGATCTTGTTAACTATGGCTTCCATGTACATATTCCGGGGCAATCAAGCTTATTATTTTAACAACTAAGTGGATCATTATTTTCAAGTCCAAAACTGAAAGTAATTCAGATCTGCGCATAGAAGAAATTCAATGTTTCATAGGAATTCACTATTATTGATGTACATGTTTGCCTCGACTCTAGTACTGTGGATCCTCTGGCACTTGTGTACCTTGATTTCCAGGGATGACGTTTCTCTTTTAAAGTCTAGCAATGTTCAAAAAATTGTGTGCATGTCCCTTGCATTTCTAAGTTATCTTGGGATCACAGGAAGGGGATATCCCAATTCCATCTTAAAAGATCCCAGCCAACTCATCTTCCCTAGCTATCTGTGGCTGTTGTTCTGTTGTGTCTTCACCATCAGTTTCATCTCCAGATATGTTCAAATTCTTTTCAACTAATTCTCTGAATATTGAAGACCGGAGAAGGAGGCCAAGTGCAGTTGGAGAAGATGACTTAGTGTTGGAGATTTGGTATGTTTTGTTTTCAAAGACTTCATGCTTTTGGGGATAATTCAGATAATCTGAATTGAAAGTACTACTGTGAAGGGCCAAGGATTTGGACACCTCTATTGGAGAATAGTTAGATTGGGATGCCGCTGTCTGAGTCTCTGGTACTACCTCTGATTCAAGTTTTACTTCTGAGATAGTTCCTCTTGATGGATTTAACCATCTTATGTAAGTACTCAAATCGAAGTTGGTTACAGCATGGATCCCTCTGTACTCAATGGCCGCTATGTCATAAGCACGAGCAGCTTCCTCTTGGGTGCCTATGTTGGGGAAGATACATAGATTTGGTCAACTAGATTTTTGAGAGGTTAGTGAATGAAAGAAGCATATATATGTTTTTGTGTGTGTGCATATTTTTGTTTAGTTTTGTATTCCAATTATAGGCTATGGAGATTTAATTTACTGTAGGTGCCAAGGTAGAGATATTTGTTTCCGAAAACCCTCCCAATCCTTGCTTCCCATCTACCATTGTGGTGGTGCCTGCAATATATTAACCAAGTATTAGTGACTCATCTTTATCAACCACAATTTAGAATACACATAGCATCCAGTCACCATCAGGAGTATCACCTTGCGACACCCCTATACTTTGATAAGCCTCTTGAAAAGCCACTACTCTTTCTGTAAGAAAGAAAAAAAAATAGTCATATATGGGTGAAGTGACCATGGCAGTGCTCCTAAACCTGTCTTATGGACATCTATCTTATTTTATATATTGCAAACCATACTAACAGGAATAAACCTTCAGTTACTTCCCTGGACCTGGAGAAGAGGGGAAGTAACTGCACCATCGGGATCAAAGTCAAGATCACCAGTCTTACTCTTACCTCCTTAAAGTGGCCAAGTACTCCTCTTTTGTCATAGTCTGCATTATCTCTATCTCTTTTTCATAATCAGTGATCTGTTGGAAGTATAAGGAGCATTAGATGATCTGCATTTAAGCATTAAGTAAAGATACAGATCATTATTATTTCATAGGCAATAACTATCATCATACCGGAAAATTGGTTAAAGTTGATGTTCCCCAGTACTTAAGTGCAGCTAAGTCATATGCTCTAGCTGCTGATTCTTCTTCACCATAAGCGCCTGTGGTATTTGAAAGATAATTTGTCTTCTTATAATTGATTTACACAGTCATCAAAGCAAAATCTTGGCTTAATTACACTCACCAAGGTAAACTGTTAGTCCAATAACCAATTCCAATCCACGTTCCAAAGGCAAAGTTTGAACATGAAAGCACATTTATGTGTTAAGATATAGAAAAGATAAACAAATAAGAAAAAGTTAGCAACAAAGCAGTGGATGTTAAAGCCAAAAAAGAGAGGAGGAAACCAACCTTGCTTCCCTTTCTTCTTTTGGGTTATGTTCCAAGAGAGCTTGTCCCATAAGTGAGCTTCAAATCGACCCGTCCATCTATGTCTATTAATCCACAGTTCAACTTAGATTAGCAAATGAAGCAGAACAATTGAAATTGATGATTTGCTCCTATTTGAAACTATAGAACAATCTTTACAACCTGCTGACACCCCGAAATTTTGAACTTCTCTTTTTTGGGCTTGTAGTAGAATTTTGATCAACTTGTTGCTGTGGCAGTAACTGTTGCTTCTGATCTTGGTTATCCTCATATTTAAGTGCAGCTGCTGCAGGCTCTCTTCTTTGTCTCTTGGCACACCGAGATAGTTGAAACTCACCTTCTGCCATGGACATGCACCTCCTGCTCGTGTTATCTTCATTCTTTATCACCATTTCCATTTCTTTTATTGTTATATTCTGCTTTATCTTCTTAGATAAACTTTTTTCCTTCTCACTTTCCCTTGACATAGTGTGTGTAATTTATGTATGCTTATGGATACGTACTTGTTTTAACCTTATTATGTTTTTGTTTTTACTAATCATATGATTGAAGTCAAAAACAAGGGGACGATGATTACGGGGAAGTTTGAGGATAAACTTATCCTGTGTGCCAGCCAAAATCCAAGATTAACGTAATGCTGCCATTTCAAAATATGAGGTCTCAAGGCAACCCCAGGAAGCAAATCTAGAAAATTATGCATGTTTTTAAAGTGGGCTTTTTAAGCTTGAAATCTACTTTTTATTTCAATACAAAAAATAGATCAAAATTCGTTTTTTATTGTTGTTAAAGATATAGAAAAAAAAAAAAAATTATATGTAGTGTTAACAATAAAATTAAAAAAAAAATTGTGTGAAGCAGAAACACAAGTGCTCAAGTGTTGTGTTTGTCCATATGTTTAATAAAGTTAGAAGAAAATCTACCATGATAATATATAAATAAATGAAGTAAAAAATGTTTCTCCTGCCATGAAATAAAGTTATCTCAACAATCCCAAAATTACGTCGTTTTGGGGATTGAGAAAATTAAGGAAGGATATTTTAAAAAATTTACTTGTTTTTGTTATTTAAATTTTATCAAAACACCTTTCATTAATTCTTCAACCTTCAAAATAACATAGTTTAGAGATTGTTAGTTTAGAAGTTGTTGAAGATAAATTTATCTCCTCGGATGGGAGAAACCATGAACCCATAAATAAATGATGTGTTTAAATTCACATCACAATTAACTCTTCTAAAATATAATAATTGAAGCGTGCGCATATTAGCTTATTGGTAGCCCTATAATGTTATTCATCATAGTGCCACAGAATAAATGCAAAGTAGTCAAAATTATCATAATTTAAATATAGCTGAATATTTCTCATTTACGCCATGTCTCCTGGATAGTAGTCTTGAAGTAAAAAAATTACTTAAAAAAATTTCGTTGTCATAGTGATCTTCGCATAGGGATTTCACCATGTTGATTTCTTTACTTAATGTACTATATAATCTCTCTTTTAAAAGGGGAATACAAAGTTCTAAAATTGATGTTAAAGGTTGACCGAGTCAAACGAATTTGTTATTAAAAAAAAAAAAGTGTTTGATTCGTTGCAGACAGGAATGATCCACATTGATTTTTTGCATTTTGTTTGTGAGCAAAAAGGCCCGAGAGAAGATGGGTTTTGTTTTGAGAGAACTTTACTAAAAAGCATATGCTTTTGTGCATTAATGTTTTCTTGGATTCATCATTGGCCAAGATATAATCTTATCTTGGGAAAGAAATGGACGGCATTTCCAAATTTTTAAAAGCACATATGATGATATTCATTCATCTTGTTTATATATTACTTAATAGCTGGGAACTTGTCATTGTTATGTACATGTCCTTATTTGCATTTAGATCAATCCTATGTCTATTGACTAGTTTATTTTAAAGTAATCAAAAGCCAATTTTCTGTTGAAGTCTTATACTTCAAGACCTGATTTTTGAGCCTAAAATATTGATGAAGTAATTGCTTCACTTATATTAATATATCTGCTGTGGTAATAAACTAGCTCTGATCTTATTCTCCTTCTAAAAATGCGGATCTTATAGAGGTCGTTTGTGGTTCTGAATTGTGTACATTAGTTGAAGAAAACCAATCCCCACCCGTATATAATGTAATATGCATGCATTGTGTCAAGCAGCAATATGAATTACTACTTAGTGCTGCAATATTTCATTGGGTGTAAATAGGTCAATGATTTTATCTGCCCCACTCTAGAGTGAAGACATAATATCATAATATGTAACCCAGATATTTCAAATTTAAAAATTTTCAAACTAAATGCACAGATGCTCTTTAGGGGGGGTGATATGTAAATTATCAAACTTAATATTTATCATGAAAATTTCTTTTATTTTATTCGAAACACTACATCAATTCTAAAATTATGATTGATTATTATATGGATTTTATATATATACTTTTTCGGTAACAATATAGATTTTATATTTAAATTACGGGTTTATTGTTTCTCCTTCCACAAGACATCAAATTATCTCTAGTAACACCAAAACTACATCATTTTGCAAGTTGGGGGAATTAATGAAGCATGTTCTAATAAAATTCATATAACAACAAACAAATAATTCCTAAAATATCTTTTATTAATTTTCTCAATCCCAAAATAACGTAATTTTAAAGATACTGAATATAACTATAGCTCCTACGACGGAAGAAACATTTCCCCTTAAATTATTGTATAAATTTATATTTAACATATTTATAAAGGGATATATTTTTCTTATGTTGTAAGAAAAAAATTACCTTATGTTGTAGAAATAAAAGTATAAGTGGGACCCACAGGTAAGAGGAGAGAGAAAAAAGAGTAATGAAATCCAACCTCTTTTTGTGTGTGTAAGAGTTGTTTATCCCATGTAAAATGAGATAAACATAACCCATATATAAATACATCATATAAATACTCTTTAGGTTTTGATCTGAGGGTACGGGGCAGGGTTGGGTTAAGCAAAATATCCACCCTCACTGCCCCAACAATATATGCATTTTAGGATAGGCCTTAAATATAAGGATCTCATAGAAAACCAACCTTCTAACCAATCAACTGAAAAAAAACAAAATGATCTATACAATTTTGGGAGCCATCAAGATCATCAGTCATTGCTGTTACCATCAGACAGAGAATCCCAAAATTTTGAAGATGGTTCACTTTCTAGTTTCGTAAGAGGATTTTTAGCATTGTGGTAGTCCCTAAAGCGCAAAACAGTCAGATCTTGAGAATAAGTAGCAGTGGTGACTCTAGATCCATCTACAGCCATGGCATTACAGCCAGATAAGCCATTAAAGCAAGGCAAGGAATTTGTTTGTACACCAGTGTCAACTTCCCATACATTAACGCATTCATCATCAGGGCCCCCAGTAACTATTTTGTATGGATCCATGTGCAATAATGTTACTGGTCCACAATGTCCATCCAACTCAGCTATCGGTTTTGGTGTTAATGATTCTTGATTTTTCCTAATATCCCACAACATTGCTCTGCAGCATTGTAGTTTTGGTCAGTGCTCATCCATTCTAAAAGAACAACTAAAGATAACATGATATTTCACTAAGATTTAGCCATTTCTTACCCAGTAAAAAAACCAATGGACAAGAGTAATTCATTAATTTAGATGATTAGGAAAAATATCTTTAGTTTCTTTTCTCATAGTCATACCTGTCATCACCGCCGGTGCAGATTAAAGACTTTGAAGGGACAACATCAAATGAATACAGCTTTGATTGATGCACAGCGGCAGTGATAACTTTCTGCATTGTCCTTAGATCAACTGCAGTGACAGAGGAACCAGCTGCCACATACAATAGCGATTCATAGCATTTCATGTTTACAGGTGCACCAGGAAAAGAAGTCATTCCCACACAAAAGGACGAACGAACAGCAGATGATGTAGTCGTACTTGTATCCCAAACCCTCACCTATTAGAAGCTCCATAATTGTAAAAGAGTAACCCAAGTTTTGAGATAATTATTAGATTTAACTTCTATTGTCAGTGTAAAAAATTTTACACTATTAGTGAACAACATCATCTAGTGAAAAAAATGTGCACTTTAAAAAAAAAAAAAAAAAAAAAGCTGCAAAAAACTTACATTGTATGTTAAAAACCTAACCTTAGTTACTATAATGATGCGTCACTTTTTTGTTAACTGCTAGTGTAAACTGTAAAAAATCTCACGGTGAAGATGGACCAAATTAAAACTGAAATTGTTAACAGACATAACATTTTAGCAAAGCCTGATCAGTAACCAATAGCTAAAACAGCATTGAACAACATTTGGATGAACTTTGTCGTTTTTCTGAAATGGTTACGGCAGAATTTAAAGTTTCTAAATATAGGACTTCACCGAAGCATTGAAGCGGAAGAAATATATTCCTGTGGGAATAATTTGAAGCCAAAAATTATATTGCATGTAAATAATGCTTCAATACTGGACAGGAAAAAATGTTCAAAGAGTTTAGATAGTAATTAGCACCTAAGGATGAAAATACTCTAGATCTCGGTTGGCTTATGAAATTCACGGAAACTCAATTTTCCTTTCTAGTTTTTACAGAATATAACATTGCACCTATAATTGCATACAACTTGTTGACTATTACCGTATACACTATGTAGTAAATACTCAACAAATTTAAGAAACTATTAAAGCATGTTAGGGTCATCCTTTAGGAAACCAAGGTACTTGAGAAAGAATAAGTGAAAATATTCAAAAATCAAGTCGATAGACAATTAAATTAACGTGACAGCAAAAAAGACAGGAATACAAGGAGAACCTTAGAATCTCTAGACATGGTCACCAAAAGCGAAGTTTTGTGCCTGAAAAATGAGGACACAAAGGATCTATCATTATAATTGAAGATGACTGCTGCGGACACCTGTACTTCATTATCCTAACATAACAGTGGTGAAAGGACAGTCAAGTAATAGTGAATATTTCAACAGAGCAACTCATACCCAGCAACTGACATCAAATTTACAGGTTTTTCATGCCCATAGAGTGTAGCCTTTAAAGCATGCCGTCCCCGCTTGCCACTTGAGCTAAGAGACCATAGTCGTACAGTACAATCTTCTCCTCCACTTGCCAATACTTTGCAGCTATCCTCTCCCAATAATTTGTTTGATAGTGACAACACTGGACCATTGTGACCTCTCCAGCATCGCAGGCAAGAACCCTACAAGGCAAGGATGAAAACAAACTCAGCATAAGAGATATAGACATGATATACACAATGTCATGCCTCAATAATGTCAAAGGTACACCTTGCAAAAGTGCTTCCAAGAGAAAATTGTCAAAAGTAAATAGAGCTTTCAAGGAGCAAGCGCATATGAATGAGCACACCAATCTTCTTTTCTTCTTTGTTTTTTTTGCAGGGTAGAATCCTTAACATACTAGAAATACCACAAAAGCAATAGAAAATTGAATAGTAACATGAAAAAACTTCGGATATTTATTTTTATTTACTTTTAATCCCACAAAGAAAGAGGGATAAACATGCTGGTGAAAAACAGGATTAAGAATGTGTATGTAGACATGGTGGCCTCATATAATGTTGCTTAAAGCAATACCTTCCACCACAGACGTATGGAGTGATCACAGCTTGAGGTAACCAAAACTTCTGCTGTGTTGCCTCGAAGTAAAGAGAATCCATTAAGGGAAAATAATCTGCAGTTTGATTATTTTAGTTCAGATTACGTCAATTTACCCTAAAATCCATGGAATTTTACTTTATAGGTGGAAAAGATGTTTGACTTATGAAACTAAAAACAACAGACAATAATTCCAGGAATGTTGGTACTAGCCAACAAGCAACCGAAGAGCAGGGCCTTATACTATTAATCTTTCGCTCCAACCTTACAAAATAAATGTAATTTCTAATTATTAGGCCAGAAATCATAATTTCTTATGGATATTGAAAAAACTTGAATTTTTAGTTTACACATATGTATGCCTGTAGAGCCATTTACTTCCTTGACAAAAGGACCCTTTTCATGAATCAAAACAATTGATCAAACTTATTACCATTAGCTGTAAACCAATGATCATATAATAGGAAAACATCATCAGTAGGTTTTGTTAAACTATGTGTATTGTTAAACTTCAAAGCTTTGTCTAATTGGTCCGCAGTTATTAATTTTGGGGTATGATGGGTTCTTTTATCTATTGGCACTTAAAATAAAATAAAAATTGAACTACTTTAATGCATATGACAGCATCCGTGGCATCAAATTTAAAAGAATGAAAGCAAGGAGAGATAACCGATGCAATAAAAATGAGAATTTGAATTTGTAATGAGCAAATGAAAAAAATAAAATACAAAAAATGGGACATGGATTACCTCATAGAGGTGATTCTTGCTCTATGATCACTTAACGTGTGGACAAAATGATCTGTCCCCTTCTGATAGCCATCCAAATTTATCATTCCTACAAGTGAACCCTGGTCAACACCAATCAGCAGAGCGAAAATGTGAAGAAGTAAGTATTAGAAAAACGTTCAAGTGGCTACAACCTAGACACTTCGAAAACCTGACGTGTACCGACACTTCGACACTCCAACATGCATGGTAGAGACTCAAAATAAGGTTCAAAGGATGTGTTAGTTCTAACTATTAGATTTGTTGGATTAGGATTATTATTTTATTGAATTTAATTAAAATATTTAAGATATCTTATGTTTCTTTGCAAAATTGATGGCTATTATAAGTTTAGCTTCATTTTTTGGTTAAATTATTGAATGTTAAATATAATATACACTACATAAATAAAAAATATTATTTAATATTAAAACGTGTCGAAATTTAACATTTTATAGAATTAACGGTGTCCGCATAGGCTACAACTACAAAATTTTCAACCCACTTGAAATAATCACAGAAGAAAAAGATATAAAAAAAGGCGGTAACTTTGCATCATTATAATAATATATATATACCTGTGCGAAGAAAATCCGATTTTTGTGAAGGAGCAAATGGTTTATAGGTTCAACGTGTGGAAAAAAGTCAAGAGAAAATGGGTCAAGGAACTTGAACTGTTGCAACTCGGTGTGCCTGGTCAGATACAGTTCCCTCGCTTTTCTACTAGTTCCACTCGAATGTGAAGAAGGTATTTGTTGATGCCAATGCTCCCTAAGAGATTTTGAATTTCAATTCGATTATTAGAGGAAGAAGAAGAAAAATGATTTGTCGAGAATAGAATAGAAAAGGAACCTGAAGAAGTGTTGCCAAATGGAATCGGAATATGCGAGGCGTTTGAGAGAGGTGGATGTCATCGCCAAATTGCAAACGTCGCGGAGGTTCATGTAGGCGGCGCAGTGAGCTATGGTGTCCTCGTCCAGATCGGATATGGTGGTTTCCTTCGTCGCCGGCGACTGCGACGGTGATGAACCGGCCATTATTTACAAACCCTAAAAGTGAAATTTGGGACTGAAGCTTAAACTAAGGTGCATTCTTTTGATGGGTGAAGAAAAGTAAACCGGAACATTGACACGATAATGACATTTTTTTATTTTTTTTGTAGACAACACGATAATGACATTAGGGTGCGGATAAATTTTTTCGTGCCAGAAAATTATAATTTGTAGGGATAAGTGAAAAAGTTAGGACCCTTACGATCCTTAATTAATAATTAATTATCAAATTGCCCTTCATTCAAAATTATTTCGAAAATTTACCCTCCCCAACAAACATAACACCAATCTGTCCATGTTTGACCGTTGACCACGAAGCCTACCCGGGTACACCATTACCTACCCGGGTAATTTTTTGAAAATTTTTTATCTACCCGAGTATGTAGGAGTGTACCCGGGTAGAGTTCTTGAATCTGGGAAAATGGTTGAATTATTTACCCGGGTATGGATCAGTGTACCCGGGTAAATCGCGTCCAGAAACCCCAATATGTATGGGTTTCGGCCATTGTTGCGAGGTATAGGGTTTTTGAAACCCCAAATCTCTCTCTTACCCTCTCTAATCCGAAACATCACACATATTTCATCTCATCATTTCAGAAAGCTGAATCTTGGTGGGACATTGAGATTACATCTCCACACTCCCATTTTGTGCTCAAAAGTCCGAACCAACCTCCAAACCCAAAACCTAGATCTAATTTTTGTGTGAAAGATGAGTTCAAGTCCAAACATGGTTCCTATAGTTATTTACTACAATGGGAGGCATTTTGAAGGTCCGAACGGTGTCCGATTTGAAGGAAAAACAAAAACGATGAAAATCAAAGTGGGCACTACATGCAATGAACTGAAGGAGAGAATTCTTCAAAAAAATGGGGTCAGGAGGCATACATTCCATCCACCGCATGATAGCCAAGTTAGAGACTGTAGTGGATATGGATACAATATACTACATTGGAAACGATATAAATGATGATGAAGATGTGGAGTTCGTAACAGATGCGTTTGTTGAATGGAAAGTATTAAAATATATTGAGATATATGTTGAAGTTGATGTTGGACAATCTTCATCTTTACCGGTGCATACAACCACTACTGCACACTGTACCGGTCAAGAAGATACAGTTGTACGATCTTCTGCACCTCCTCAGGTAGCATTGGATGAGGATGAAAAGGATGAAGAGGATGAAGACGAGGACTATGTGGACAGCGAAGATGAGGGAGAACCTGAAAGTGCTATTCCAGAAGGTGATTCGTCAGACACTGACGTGAACGGTAATTTTGAGGCTGACATGAGCGCCGTAAGTCTCGGTACCCCAGCCTTGTCACCACTTCATGTCGACCCAGTCAGTAGTGGTAAGTTATTAAATTTGAACATTTGCTTTAGACAATTTATTATTTGTGGTGGTATTCATTCAGACAAATGAGAGTTGATCATGTTTTCAAAATTCCAACCATTGCTAAAGTATATGCTGCACACTGGTTTCCTATTGGCAATGAATTGTTGATTCCATCCGTTGTTGGGCCTACTGTAATTCCGGATGCTCAGTTGGTACGTGCAAAAGGAAGACCAAAGTCTTCAAGGATTCAGAATGAGATGGATTGAGTTGAGTCTCAACCCTCTAGCAGTCAGAGCAGATGTAAGCATTGCAAGCAAGTTGGACATAACATTCGTACATGTCCATTGAGACTAAGACAAGCATGATTACGTATTGTTTTTGTGTAGTACTTTGTTTTGTAATGACAATCACTTTACGTATTGTTTTGTTTCCTTGTACCCTAAACTTTATCTTGTATTAGTTATGTATTGTGTTGTTGAAATGTATTGTTGAACTGTATTCTTGTGTTGTTGAAATGTATTGTTGAAATGTATCCGTTAAGTTTAGTGAGTCACTCGTTCCGTATTGTGCAATCCGAATGTCTACCATACCCATTTACCCCTTCCCCGAGTCAGTTAAGGTTATTGTATTACACATCAATTACCAAGATGCAAAAAAAATGGATTGAACAGCACCTGCTGCTGCATCTGCAACTGGTCTACCCGGGTAACTCGTAATGATATACCCGAGTACATACCCGGGTAGACCAGTTCGTGGTACCCGGGTAGACCAGTTGCAGATGCTGTTTTGGCCATTTTTTTTGAATTTTGGTAATTGTTGTGTAATACCTACATACAATATGACTTGGGGGTGGATTGATTTCGTAGAAATAGGATGCAGTAATCAAGATGTGCGCCAATGAAAGTTGAACATGGATATTAAAGTACTTTGGGTTGAATTGATTTCCAAATTAATTATGACAATATTAATGCAAGGTCCCATACTAATGCATAGAACCAACAAGTCTGAACGTGCGCAAAACGAAAATTTCATTCATTCAAATTTTGAACATTCAGTACAAAAACATCCATGCAATATAGGTAAAGTTCCTAAATGTACCAAAATGACTACATTACATCAAACTAAATCAATGATATGAAACCCTATGGACACACTAATCCGATGGCGTGTCCTCCCCATTCTCTTCATCCGATTGTGTGTCATCCCCATTGTCATCATCCTCCTCCTCCTCCTGAGTATGGGCACCCTCGCCAATTAAACCCTCCAAGCGTGAAACCCTTGTGTCCAACCGTGCAACCCTTGTGTCCATTGCTTCAGGAGCCTCTCACCAAATATAGCATTCCAGCCTCTGGCGGTCTTCAAGGTCTCTGTTGCCATAGGCACTCCAAATCTATGCAGAATCTTCTGCACCAGAAATGCAAAAGGCAATTCAGCCTTCTTTGACTTGGCTGCCTTCCACATCAGTATGCATATGTAATGCCTCCAGTTCACCTGCTGACTGTGAAGGAGGGCCCACAGGATGACAAAGTCCCCTTCCAGCACCTTTGAGTGATTATGCGGGCGCTGGAAAATAATATGTGTCACCACATAATGAAGAATGCGAGTAGAAACTGACAAGTTGCTAACAGGATAATGAGCAAAATGACCGGGCTCAGCGTCTGCCCTCCTAGTCTCTGTAACAATGGTCTCCCGGTTATAATCACCAAATATATGATGGCTGTCTCCATCATATAGTTCTGCTCCTGTGACACCATCAAAATCGAACCCCAGTAGCTCCGTCCAGATAGGAGCAGTCATGATGATATCAATCCCGCAGACACGGGAAGTCAGCTCGCCTTGCGAGTAGCCAAGGTTCTGGTAGAAGGCTCTTACCATAACCTCCGAGTATGGGCACCGCATCTCCGCCAGGTGAAGTAAATGTGTCTGCTCAAGAAGCGGCACAATGTCAAAACGCTCTAGGTTGAAGAATGCCGAATCCAGTGATTTCGGTTCGCAGATCTTCCGGGTCATGAAAAACTTCACGAACTTCTCGTGTGAAGGTATGTCATCCTCAAACAAATATCCGAACGTCAAGTCCGGAGCCTGACTCGAAGCAGCCTGGGGCTGAGAGGATGACGACCCATCGTGACGACTCTTGGTTCTTCTCTCGGAATGGGTCACTGGCAGCTTTGAAACGCGTCGAGAGGTCATTGTGTCACACTATTAAACTGAAAAAATAACCAAAATCAGAAATTAGATACATGTTAGGGTTAGGGTTAGGGTTAGATTCAGGGTTAGGGTTAGGGTTAGGGTAAGCGTATGACATACAAATTGATAAAATAATTCGGACAGAATCAAATGATATAAACGAAAATACAATGAATCAGAACAGAAATCATAACATAATTGAAAAAACTGAAAAAAAAATGCACCTTTGATCGATTTCAATCGGTAGAAGGCAGAGAGGTTGCAAGGTCCGCGAATGATGATCAGAAACAAGACGAATTGGTGCAAGATTATGCCTAAAATCACTCCTCCAGCAGCTCTACTCGGGTACCCCTTTTGTGGGTTTTCGAAATGGGGCTGCTGGGGTATTTTAAAACCCTACCGTCGATGTTTACCCGGGTAAATAATTCAACCATTTTCCCAGATTCAAGAACTCTACCCGGGTACACCCCTACATACTCGGGTAGATAAAAAGTTTCAAAAATTACCCGGGTAGGTAATGGTGTACCCGGGTAGGCTTCGTGGTCAACGGTCAAACAGGGGCAGATTGGTGTTATGTTTGTTGGGGAGGGTAAATTTTCGAAATAGTTTTGAATGAAGGGCAATTTGGTAATTAGTTATTAATTAAAGGTCATAAGGGTCAAAAAAACCTGAAAAAGTTAGTTTCATTTGTTATAAAAAAAGTTATCTCTTGACAATAAAGATAGAGGCACACTAAGAAGAGTTTGGTCCATACCTTCAAGAGCGTGGGTTCAAACTCTCTCGGAAATTTTTTAAGAGATTGAGAATCTTCTTTGACCTTAGTGGAATACTAGAGTCTAATCTCGCTTAAAATTTTTTGTATTAAAAAAAAAAGTTATCTATTAGGTTAAAATATTGGATAAGCATTTCTTGAGTAAGTTATATTCACTTAGCATAAAATGATATTTTTTTTTGGCAAAAATTAGATATTTTTATCATTATAATTTATTTCAGGGTTATATTAATAGTTATTATTATAATTTTTAATCTTATAATTTCAAAATAATATCATTTTGGACTCACCTATATAACTTTATCTCGGTTATCTTATCTGTAGAAATATTTTTTCCTAAGATATTACTGAAATTTTGTCTCTAAAAAGTGTAAATATTTCCAACACATGGGGTTTCAAGAATATCATCCTTTTCATGATATTGGATGATATTTTGAAAGAAATATTGTACATAAAATAAAATTTCAAAAAAATTAAATTTTCAGAAAATTTTTTAAGAGAAAATAAAATTACTGCTATTACTTTCTCGGAAATCTCGAAAAACCTCTCCTTACCAAACCCTGCCTAATTGTAAGAGAAAAGAAGGTGCGAGTATTAAATCATTGTGTTATGTTTATGTTGTTGTAACATGATATAAGCTTTTTTTTTTACTCAAACAAATAGACATAGGGTTCACAATTTTTTATTTTTTCTTTCCTCAACTCATTTTCTCTCTCTTCTTTTATGTTTGTGTA